AGATGTAAATCGGCGGATTCAACTCGGCTGGGCAGCGTCATGGAATTTACGACACATCTTCTGGTCAGGTATACCTCAAAACCTGAAAACAAGATTGTGCAACCAGTGCGTGTTGCCAGTGATGACTTAGGGATCTGAGACGTGGTCTTTCACAGCTGGCCGTATGAGGAAACTCAAAGTTGTTCGGCGAGCTATGGAGCACTACCTGGTAAGACATGCAGGAATTCAATGGATGCAGGTGACTCGGGACCGTACTTTGTGGCATTCCTTAGGGGAGGCCTATGTTCAGCAGTGGACTAGTGAAGGGCTGTGATGATGATGATGATGATGATGTTTAAATAATAGTGTACCGTACTTTACTCAAATCTTACTTTTAAATATTAGTCCTATAATATTATTAACGTTCCTTAAGGGCGGTCTTTGTTCAGCAGTGGACTTGTGATGGGCTGTAATGATGATAATGATGATGATAATTGTGTCGCCTTTGCATAAGTTCAAGGCACATGTAGAAAACATTCTAATAAAAAAAGGTTATTTATTTCAAATTGGATGATCATTAGAATACTTAAATGATTTCAACTTTTTTAGATTTTTCTTAATTTGTGTATATATTTTTTAACAGTTTTATTAAAACTGGGTTCCATTCCGCCGCCAAATAGCAATACTTGTGCTCTTCTGGTCCGAATGGTACACAGAGCCAGTATAACTCCAGGCTGCGAGGCATTATATATTACTATCCTATTCGTCAGAGGTGACGTGCATATGCATCCATGGACTGCAAAAGCCACTTACTGGTGCAATGTTAGTTCGTTTGTAAGTTCAATTTTATAAAAAAATGTATTACTTAAATAAATAAATTAAGTGTATGCAATTAATCTCTATCTGTCTTATTAAAGTATATGTACTTGTTTCTAATACATAACAGCACGGTGGCATCACGTGGTATAATGAAACGTCAGACGATGTAATTGAAACGCAGCGCGTGTGATTTTGTTTTCATTGCATACATACTGAATTCATTCCTGCATTTATATTGCGACGTTTACGAGAACGCTATATGACATAAAATTTACATTTTTATAATATGCTCTCGCGAGTGTACATCTAGATTCGTATCCCAAAACATGATACTGAATTCTTTACTTCCTTATTCACAGTTCAGGCTAAAAGTACTTATCTAGAACATCCTGTCTTACGATGTTCAAAAGCTACGAATAAGCATATCTTTATTTATTATTAGAAATATTTTTTTACTTGGTATAACCACGCTGCAGCAATATTATGGTTGTAGCAGGAATGGGTCGGCTCAACCGGGGTAGAGAACAGGATACCCCTTTTTTACGTAAAGGAGGCATTTAAAAAGCCATATCCTATCATGAGGTTCCTCATATTTGGCGGGTTGGCAACCGCATTTTTATTGTTATCGTGTCAAGATGATCTTGCCCATCTCATACTTTGATTGACGCCCTTTGTCGCCTCTTACGACACCCACGGGACGATATGTGGTAGTGGATATTCTTATATCCCCGCTACACTACACGGTTAAACGTCTTTTTAACTGAGGGCCAATTGTTCAAGCCTCAGGTAAAATTTACTCCAAGGATAAAATATAACATAAACATATTAAAAACAACTGCAGTATAAGTAAAACAGCACAATTGTTTTACTTTTATATTCTCTCAGGTTATAATTTAAGCGATGGATATAATTTAACTGACGATTGAAAAATTAACCCTAAATGAAATAAAATAAAAATAAAACAATTTACTGTAGTAAGCGCAATTTGAACTTATTTTACAAGCCAACGCAACAGAGCCAGTACCAAGTTAATAAAGTTTTCTTTATCTTCGTACCAATTCCACTGAAGTCGCAATTTTAGTTTATATTGGACGCTTATACTCAGTCCGTTCTCGTTCTGTCTGCAGTACTAATTACATGCCAATATGTGCCTTCAAGTTTGTGAAATTTTAATCGGAGTAGTACTTTGAGCTAATATTATTATTTTACTCGTTTTATATAATTATCTATGATAACAGAAATATGTCCGACAACTGCGCGGTAGATATGGAACACCAACAAAATAACTGTGCTTTGTCTGTTGCAACACTGCTGCAGCGTCATGCTGAGTCGAATGCCTTTTCATTGCTACAACCCAATGTATTTTTGTTTGGTTTTATTTGTTGTTTTAATTTCTTTGTACGTTGTGTTGTGTATGACGAATAAAACATTCATTGATTCCTTCGTAATTTAGGATCTGAATAGACTATATTTTTTCTGGTTAGTGCTTAAGGCCGGCCACATTCATTCGGAATTCCGTTCCGGGATTCCGTTTCGGAATTCGGATTTGGCCTGCCACTTACATTCGGAAACCTGTTTTTCCTTTAACTATGACATTAGGACGTCAAACACCTTAGTCTCCTCACCACCACTAGTACTGCAAAATATGTAACGTTTTGACCCAAAGTTATTTAAATTTTAAATAAAAACGTAAAAACTAGTTTATATATATAAATTTACAACGTATGGTTTACGTTTTGTTTCATTCCATTTTCAGTATCCATCTGATGATGCTGAAATCTTTTTTTTAAATGTTACCCCACACGGATTTTTTACTGTATCGTGGAGGCAGTTTACATATACAAATTTAACAATTTAACAAGGAAAAACATCCAGACCCGAAGCGATTATTTGTAAGTAAAGACATTTAAGAAGTTAGTACACCTATATATTTAAATCTCTTTGTTTGTAAGCCATTTAAATACTCGTTCCATGCGGGATTTTAGCCCGCGTATACATAAGTTGTTCCGCAACTTATATTGTTAAGTCAATGCGCCACAGAGACGTCAAATAGTTGACTTTTAAAAAAATTGAATGTTTCAGAAGCAGTATTAAAATTATTTCTGTAGAATTTTTTTAAGAAAATTCGATATCGGATCCATAGCGTTTTTCGTATGAAATTTTATTGAATGTTGAAATCTTCGGTAGCACTAGCGAAACTACGAAGAGGAATTTTAACAAGCCTCGTTAAGCCTTTTGTCCAGTAAAAATATTTGCTAAATGCTTCTACTTCAACTTATACAAACTGCCATCCGATTGCCAAACGTGGTAATTATGCCAAATGTGATGTGATCTATTGGGGAGGTGTAAGTTCAGCAGTGGACTTTCTAAAAGCTGTAATTAATTAAAGAAATATTGAACTGAAGCCGGGGGTTGTCAGTTCTGGGTTTTAATTACTCACTAGTTTGTAAAATGTCATGCTTGCTCTGACACGACATTATATAACGAATTCATTTAGCAGTTCCCGTTACGCTTACATTTTAATGAAGGTGCTATTGTACGGCGAGGTCAGGCGAGCTTCACCGTATATTTAATTTGTTCAAAAGTTAAACTAGATTATAAAGTTACCTTTCATAAATTAGGGGTAATCTTTTCTTGAATTAAATTATGCACTTTAATTGTGTAATAAAAAAAAGTGTTACTCCATTATTTTATAATTTTTTATATATTAAATAAGGATGACAAATGAGCACACAGTTCATCTGATGGTAAGTAGATACTGTGTACCATAGACATCGACATCTATCCTCGATTAAGGATTTAAAAGAAAATGAGTTATTATCGCTGAGGACTTAAATAGAATGCCTCGTTTCCAGTAAAAAGGACCTCCCTAAAATCAGTCTGTAGAGGAGGGCTATGTTCAGAAGTACACTTGTGATAGGCTGCAGCGGTAATAGGAAATACCCAGAATCGGAAGAAATATTTTTAATAGTTGTACCTACATTTCGGAGCTATTTATTTTACACGAATGTTAATCTGACTTGGAATTTCGGAACAATCTTTTTATCATTCAAAGTCTGAACGTGGGGATTTTCCTAGATTGCATGTATGCATGCATAGTTTCCACGCTGTGTTGTCGGGTAGGCAGTCATAGTTATTTATTATATTTAGTAGTTAGCATGGAGGATACTACTGATCATATCTTGGTTCATTCCCTCCGTCGCCTCTTACGACACCCACGGTATAAAATGGGGTAGTGGATTATCTTACACTAGTACTCAAATAATAACAAAAAAGAAGAGGCTGAACGGAATGGTAATGAAACATCGTGAACATAATGTTACGAGCTTGGGGTCCGAGACAATTAAAAACTGCCGATTGCATTACCAAAATTGACACTTTAATTACAGAACACTAATTACAACTCAAAACCACACTAATAACAAAACACAACTGTAGTACTGATCTCTTTAGTTGGCAGTTGTATTGCTTGTATCGCCAATTCCAGGTCCCGACTAATTAGGTGTCGATAGATTTTGATCTATCGACACCTAATTAGTCATAACAACATTATTTTAATTAACTCGCCCTGAAAACGCCGAGCGTTCACGAAGTTATTGTCAGCGAGACAGAAACCCGAACGGGCACACACGTAAGGGCACACGTCGTTGCGAGTGGTCGTCCAGAGAGCGCATTTTTTGGAATATTAATGTTTATCGCTGAAGATTTCACGTTGCATTGTTAATTTGATTTTGTTTTGGTTATTTCTTTTAATTTAAGGTAATTTAGTGTTCTTTGTTCATTGATTGTTTGGCGCCGACTCAAAATTACTTAGGTATACTTACATTAGTTTTAGAAGTTTGTTATTAAGGTTAATTAAAAACTCAAAATAATTACAAAAATATATACTTATGTATACCTAAATTAGTTTAAGAACTTATTTATTAAGGTTAAATAAAAAAGGTTTATTATTTTTTGCTTTTCAGTTTTTTCGGCGGTTTAATTTTTTTGTTAAAAAGTTTTTATTATATAATTTTTCGTGGTTATAATCTAATAATTACTACATGCTTAATTTTTAATTACTTTCAAATTAGCTACCTACCTTAACTATTAACTGTTATATAATCCTACTTTAACTATTATTTGTTGTATAATATAAATACTTTAAAAAAAAAACAGGCTTTATATACCACCATGGGTAGGCCTACAAAAATGCTGCTCGAATGAGAAAAAGATATTTAGAAGAATCTAATAATGAGAAAAGTAAAAGGTTGGAAGCAAATAGAAAGAGAACTAGATTAACACATTCACAGGAGAGGTTAGATGAGCACGAGGAAAGACTGTCGAAGATGAGAAGCTACATTAACGATAGGTTATCGCAAGAATATGAAGAGCAACGCGCTCATCGTTTAGGTCTGATCAGAGAGCGACTTTCAAATGAAACTGAAGACGAACATTTGCTACGTTTGGATGCTGCTCGTAACTGTTCTGCAATGGTGATACTTCACGAAACTCCCGAGGAGAGAAGTAATCGTTTGAGCGCCATGCGACAAGCGGCTTGGGAGCGAAGAAACCAGTGTAATGCAGAAAATTTTAAAAAAGCGATTAATCCTCATGCTGACTTGCCGTGTTCAATATGCAAAAAAAGTTTGTATCCTCAGCAACGTACGATATGGCAAACTACAAATTTAGGCTCTATTTTGCCTAATGAATTGGTAGCTTTAGGTAATATTATTACTTGTTCACGATGCTCAAATAATATTAAAAAACATAATACTCCACCGCAGGCCTATTGGAATAAAATGTCGGTAGCTGCAATACCTACAGAAATCGATGACTTATCGGAAATTGAGAAACGTTTTATTTGCAGAGTAGTGCCATTTCTTAAAATAATAAAAGTTCAAAATCGTTTGAGCCAAGACTGGTGCAAAGGGCAGGCAATTATTTTTGCTCAGGATGTGGTCGAGCTAGCGGAGCAACTTCCACTTGAACCTAATCAAACTGGATTAGTGTTCGTAGTAGAAAGTCGTGAAAATTTAGAACATTCTAGGGAGTTTCAAATAGATGTAGGTAAACTTCAATTAGCATTGCAGTGGCTCCTAATGAATAATGCACTCTATAAAGATGTTCGTGTATATTTTCCTACTGTGATCGATATTTCTACGATAACACAAATTGCTGATGAACCTGCACATGGTTATGATAGTGAAGAACCAATTGCTGAACGGTTAACTATACCTACAAATAACTATACTGCCTTGAGTAACAATGTATCTATATTACATGGTTCTTTTCATCAGGACAATCAACGATTTAGTCCAGAGTCACGTGGTCGGCAATGCACAGGGATCGCAACTGTTGCTAGTGTGGCATTTTCTCTGATCAATCCTAATAATTGGTGCAAAAGCGACATAGATTACATGTTATTGGTAGGAGATAAATATTATAGAGACTGTATTGCGGCTCGGGCTAACCGCAATCCCGAAGAAGCACATATGGAATATTTGGCTGCAACTGAGCTTTTACCTAATATCACATATAACAATCGAAAAGTTGATATCAATGTTCGTCATGAATCAGCATTTAATGGTCACGTAGATAACGACAATAGTGAAGAAGGATTTCCCAATTTGTTAAACGCTTTAATAAATGTTTTTAGGGATCACAGTTATGCCATACTTACGCTGAATAATACAACTGTAGCCGTCCATTATAGACAAGAGCCTGAAGGTATTTCTTACTGGTTGTTTGACTCCCACGCGCGAGGCCTAAAAGGTTTCAAAGCTCGAACGAGAGGTACTTCATGTTGTATACGATCTACTAGTATCCATGATTTGCATATTATCCTGCGTAGAAATTTATTCATTAAAAACACATCTGTCAATGTGTTAACTCAGATTGTTTTTTCACTGACACCACTTACGATAACACCCGAAAATCAATTAGAACGGTTGCAGCAACATAGAGAAACATATTCAGATATTCAACAACGACTGCAATCATCAAATTGTCACCAGCCGCAAGATCTGCATACATCTATTATCGTGCAACAACCGCCAAAAGAAAATATTAATAACATGGAAAAATATTTAATAGACCCACAATTACAGCAAAATTATAATACAGAAACGAGATATATTTTCACAACCAGTATGCTTAGGAATATAGATGAAAGAATACCTAATTTGGACAGTGTTGTTACCATAGACAACCCTAACCCAGAGGATGAAGTAAGACTACAAGAAGTTAAAAGAAAAACAGCACTGCCCCTATATTATGAATGTGAAAGAAGAATGGAAGAGTTGGGCTGGTACTTTTTATTCCCTGACGGAAAAAATGGATTTGGTGAAGAAAGAGAGGTTTCGATTACCCCATTGGACTACTTCCAAGCTCGTGTAATGACTAATGATAAAAGGTTCCAGAGAAATGATTATTTATTTTTTGCATTGTCTGTAGTCGAGTATTTTCGAGCTAAAGCTAGTGTGTCAGTTTCATGCAGAATGCGTCAAGGGCAAAGAGAATTTACACCCCACGGACTGATTGACAATATACATCTGAATATGAGAAATGTGCGAGGGTCTGCTTCGTACTGGAGACGATGCTGTTCGGAGTTGATTGCTATGGTAAGAAGTCTAGGGCCTCCTACCTGGTTTATGACCTTTTCGTGTAATGATCTTAACTGGCCGGATATGATAAAATCTTTGCTCATTGCGGATGAACGCAATGTAAATGATATAGATAACGTAACATTTCCTGAACGACTAAAATTGGTGTAAAAATATCCAGTGGTTGTTGCCAGACAATTCTCAACAAGTATTAATGCTCTTATGCGTTATTTAAAACAAAATAATGTCTGCTTGGGTGGAAGTATCCTAGACTATTGGTATAGGATAGAATTCCAGAATAGAGGAAATCCACACTTGCACATGTTAGTGTGGTGTGAAAACATTCCTGATTTTTCGACAAATGAAGGAATAAGTGTAATTGAAAGAGTTATTTCGTGTTCTTTGAACCCCCATAACAAAGAGTTATTAAATCTAGTCCAAAATGTCCAAATGCATAGACATACCAACACCTGCTACAAAGATCGTACCAACTATTGTTGTCGTTTTGGGTTTCCCATGGCTCCAAGTAACGCTACCTTATGTTTGGGTCCTGATGAAGCACTTACCAACAACGGTCGGTTTTGCATCTTGCGAAGAACTTCTCAAAAAACTATGGTAAATAACTACAGTCCTGAAATTCTTAGTCTTTGGGGAGGAAACATGGACATTCAGCCATGCGGAAATATTTCTGCCGTCGCGTATTATGTTGCAAAATATGCGAGTAAGTGTGAACCTCACGACACTGGAGACGTTGTACGCCAAGCAATTACAAAAGCTAAAAGACGGAGTGGCACAGTGTGGAGCCAACTTTTTGCGGTCTCTATGGCAATACTCCCGCAACGATTGGTAAGTGCTCCCGAATGTGCATATCGTCTTTGCCACCTGCCGCTTAAAATGAGTTCTCGTTAAACAATATTTGTGAATAGCTGCATGCCAAATCAACGCTTTCGTTTATTGCGATTTGAAGAGGATGAAACTTCAATATACAACAACATATTTAACCGTTACGTGTTGAGGCCTGATGAGCTAGAAAACATTAGTCTAGCAGAATTTGCTGTGCGTTATGAGACGATTTCAAATATTATGTGGAGTGAGGAAGATGGTGATATTGAACTGAGAGAACCTGTTGATGGGCCTATAAGAATAAGATATATACGATTGAGGGATGCTTCACGCATGCGAGTAAGAAATAAGCCAGCTGTGTTACGTACACGTTACTACACACTTAATAGTGATAAAGATGGGTATTATTACAGGTTAATTGTTTGCCATATTCCATTTCGCGATGAAAACCAACTAATGTTGGAAGACGAGACACCAGAATCTTGTTATCTTAGACGAAAAGACGAATTAAGGCCTCTGTTGACTAACGTTAGTACCGAAGATTTCGCTCATGCAGAACAAGTCATTCAACAAGCACTTGCCCAGGCAACTGCTTTAAATGTTGCCCGTGAAACGCGTTGCGAAAATGTTCCTCGAGAAACGGGTTTCAAAAATATCAAGGACGATCAAATTATAAACGCCGATGAACATATTATCCAAAATCAGGACGACTACTGTGAAGATGTAGAAGAAAGAGATGCAATGCCTGATGATATTTTTTTAAATAATATTAGAGGTCTAAACATACAGCAGAAGGATTTATTTCAAAGAATTTCTACGGCCATTGAAAAAGATTTACATGGTGATGATGAAAAGTTGTTCCTTTTTATAACTGGAGGAGCTGGCAGTGGCAAATCATTTGTTTTAATATTACTCGTGAAGCACATTAAGAGGTGTTATGCGCCTACAGTTGATTTGCTTCTAAAGCCTAAATTTGTTGAGGTAGGTTCATTGACTGGTGTCGCCGCCCGCCAGGTACTTAGGAAAACATTGCATTCTCTTTTTTCTCTTCCCATCGAAAAAGGTAATTCAACTGCATATAGACGCTTAACTGGTGAAAAGCTAGAACAAGAAAGACGTAAATGGCGTAACACAAGTTGGTTAGTGATTGACGAAGTATCAATGGTTTCTTACGAGAACTTACGAATGATTCATATGCGGTTACAGGAATACAAAAACAATGATAAGTTATTTGGTGGCATAAATATTGTTCTCTTTGGAGATACGAGTATCATGCAACTGCCCCCTGTAAAAGGACATTGGTGCTTTGTCCAGCCACCTTGGAATGCTGCAGAAGTTAATTTATGGCACGCATTTTCATTCATCGAATTAACGATCAATATGAGACAACGAAATGATATAGAGTTTGTTGACCTGTTAAACAATTTACGCGTAGGCGAATTGACAACAAGTCAACTGGAATTGCTCTGTCAGAGGCGAATGGTGGATTTAGATGAAGAGTTTAAGGATGGTGTTGTGGTTCAAATATTCCCGACCGTCAAACAAGTTGACGAATACAATAATGAGATGACAGCTATAAATTCAAAACAAAATCGCGTCTATACAATCCGTTCCATAGATGAGTCTCGTAAAGTTGCTACCTATGGAGAGAAACTTCCAGATAATGTTGTTCCAAAAGATGTGAATAATAGTGTTGGACTTTTATCCGAGGTAAAATTAGCTGTCGAATCTCGTGTGATGTTGAGACGTAACATTTGTAACATTTCAGTATCCGACGGGCTCGTCAATGGTGCTATGGGTATTGTAAAAATAATAAAATGGCCATCACTACGCAGGGATCAACTAGAGGAAGGAGAATTACCAGATTGCGTATTAGTAAAATTTGACGATGAAAGCATAGGAAGCAGACTAAAAGATAGCGATGGTTGTGTCGCCATACCTTCAGTGGTGGCAACTTTTCAAGGTACGAAGGGTTATGGCGATATTGAGCGCAGGATGTTGCCGATAATTTTATACTGGGCCGTCACAGTTCACAAATTACAAGGTACGACCCTTGATAAAGCAGTAATCGACCTCGGAAAGAAAAACACTTGAGGGTATTGCCATATCTGATCTAGAGCTAAATAAGGTATTACACAAACCTCACGATGAACGAGCTTTAGCAGAAATGCAGAGACTGAGAGGTCTACACACAAGAGACTGATAGGTCTAAAGCTCATTCATCGAGAGGTTTTTTTGTAATGTAATGTAATTATTATGTAATGTAGTAATACACCACTCAGAATCAAAATCTGTGAGTAAAATATAAATCAACCCTATTTTCCTACCCTTAGGGTAGACATTCTTTTTTCAAATTTATATGGGACCAATTTCGAGGTATACCCTATCCAATAAAAAAAGAATTATCAAAATCGGACTACTCTGAAAAAAGTTATGCGTGGTCATACATAAAAAAAATATCCACGTCGACTTGAGAACCTCTGTTTTTTCGTCGGTTAAAAATGAAAAATTTTTGTTCATTTCAGGGCAGGTAATGGCAGCCCCGACGGATTTACTTGGGTATACTTACTATACTTATACTTATCTTCACGCACAATCCCTGACGGGGTAGCCAGAGAGAACAGATCGCCAAGTGTCACGATCCTTACAAACCTCTTTCGCTTCTTTCAGATTCATTATCTTCTTCATGCATGCACGTCTAGGTATCCGAGTACTTTTGACCCTACCCTCTTCGAGCAATTTGCTCACATGGTCTTCGAAAGTTAGTCTCGGTCTACCTACCTACCTCTACTCTACTTGGGTATTGTAATTATATTACCTAAGAGTTGTTTATTATGACAGACCTCGCGAGAATCCAACCATATTTTAAATGCTTTTATTTTTTTCTTTCGTGACTTACTACCTCTTAGTCGGGGGTTTTTGAAATATTTATTTAACCTTTTTTCGAATACAACTTTTTAAACCGTCGTGGATTTATCAAAATTTTATAATTTTGCTTATTATAATAAACTAACTATAATAAATAAACTTCGTCAAATATTCACTTTTAAGAATAAGAATTAGAAAGAAATTGTAGGTCTACATAGGAAACCTTTATAATTTCTTTCTCATTCTTACATATAAAAGCATTTTCATTAGAAGTAAATTATTAACTTCTTGAGTGCACTCAGGAACATCACAATGTCAATGTCGTCTAAATAGTAACATTAAAAACTTCATCGCACAAGCACTCGTAGGAGTGTAATTTTTCTTTTTTTGTATTTTCTAAATAAAATCATCGTAAACCTTCCCCTTTTTTAAATTTGAGTTAAAAATTCAAACACCATACTGAGTGTACACAACTATGTTTTTGGCAAGCGCAGCTATTTATAATTTTGAGTTGTTATCAGTTAGATGCTGCTCCATCTCCTGTTTCAGTTTCCCTCTGTGGCCTATTACGACACCCACAGGACGATGTCGGATATTATTACTCCGCCACTACATGGTAAGGTAATTTAAACATATGTACTAGTTTTTAGAGTCCGTTGACGTTGCGCAACACGAATTATTCCCGACATCTGATTACCGAAGACCTATGACCTTTTTTATAAATTTAAGTGAAAAACGGAGCTACAATTTACTGCTTGTATGTGGCTACAGCTGCCAGTGGACACCTGCAACCAATTTCAAACAAATAAAGCTACCTTTACGTTGTAACCTCTGAGAGCAAAGATGGAACACCTCACAACCTGTCACTAAACTGGTTCTTGCACCATTCAGATTTTGTCTTGGTGGCAGAAATATGTATGAGGGTGGACTACCTAGAAATAGAGCTCTTTCAGTAACTAGATCTTTACAATAAACAGATGTTACGACACATGTGACAAGATTTCACTAAAATAGCATTTGTTGTCTAATCTGAGAGAGAGGCAACATTCTAATATCCAATCAAATTCAGAATCATTTCATTGATCGAATAAAAACATCAGAGTTTGCGAGTGCAATGTTCATGAATTTTAAAAACACTCCTAATGTTTCGAGTTTAGCTTTTTATAAAAATCATTGAAGGAAAGCTCTCACGTTAAGATGAAATTATAAATTGGGAAACGATCCTTTCATTAGTTAAGTTATTTATAACATGTTGGATATTTACAGCTTCACATTCAGAGAATTTAAATTAGGGGTAGAGCCATACTGCAGCTATATTATGGTTGTATAAAGAATGGGTCGGCTCGACCGGAGTAGTACAGTGTGCTCGTTTGTTACCCTTATCCTATAAAAAATATCTTAGATCTTCACTACAAATAAGAAGCAATGAACCAGTAAATTCATATTAGTGGCTTTTTATA